AGTTTCTCAGATCATAGTACAATCAAATTAGAGCTAAAAATTAAGAAATTCACTCATAACCACACAACTGTATGGAAATTGAACAACCTGGTCCTGAATAACTCTTGGGTAAACAATGAAATTAGGAGAGAAATCAAGTTGTTTGAAACTAATGAGAACAAAGAGACAAAGTATCAGAATCTCTGCAAGGCAGCTAAAGGAGTGTTAAAAGGGAAACTTACAGCACTAAATGCCCACATCAAAAAGCTAGAAAATCTCAAGTTAACGACCTAACATCACAACTAAAAACACTATAGAATCAAGAGCAAACAAACCCCAAAGCTAGCAGAAGACAAGAAATAACCAAGATCGGGGTGAACTGAAGGAGATAGAGACACAAAAAATCCTTCCAAAAATCAACAAATCCAGAAGTTGTTTTTTGAATAAATTAAACAAATAGACTGCTAGCTAGACTAATAAAGGAGAAAAAAGACAAGAATCAAATAAACACAATAAAAATGATAAAGGGAATATTACCACTGACCCTAAAGAAATATAAACAACCATCAGAAAATACTATAAATATCTCTATGCACATACAGTAGAAAATCTAGAAGAAATGGATAAATTCCTGGACATATACACCCTCCCAAGACTGAAACAGGAAGAAGTTGAATTTTTGAAAAAAACAGTAATAAGTTCTGAAATTGAGGCAGTAATAAATAGCCTACCAACTTAAAAAAAAAAAACAAAAAACCCAGGACCAGAGAGATTCACAGCTGAGTTCTACCAGAGGTATAAAGAAGAGCTGGCATCATTTCTACTGAAACTATTGAAAAGAAGGGACTCCTCTCTAACTCATTCTGAGGCTAGCATCATTCTGATACCAAAACCTGGTAGAGATACAACAACAAAAAAAAGAGAAACTTCAGGCCAACATCCTTGATAAACATTGATGCAAAAATCCTCAAGAAAATGCTGGCAAACTGAAACCAGCAGTACATCAAAAAGCTTATATACCACCATCAAGTTGGCTTTATCCCCAGGATGCGAGGTTGGTTCAACATATGCCAAACATAATAAGTGTGATTCATCGCATAAATAGTGCTAAAGACAAAAACCACAGATTATGTCAACAGAGGCAGAAAAGGCCTTCAATAAAATTCAACATCCCTTCATGTTAAACACTCTCAATAAATAGGTATTGAAAGAACATACCTCAAAATATTAAGAGCCTTATATGACAAACCCACACCCAATATCATACTGAATGGGCAAAGCAAGAAGCAGTCCCGTGAAAACCAACACAAGACAATGCCCTTTTTCACCACTCCTGTTCAACATAGTATTGGAAGTTCTGGCAAGAGCAATCTGGCAAGAGAAAGAAATAAAGTGTATTCAAACAGGGAGAGAGGAAGTCAAAATGTCTCTGTCTGCAGAAAACATGATCCTGTATTTAGAACACCCCATTGTCTCAGGCCAAAAGCTTCTGAAGCTGATAAGCAATTTCAGCAATCCTCAGGATACAAAATCAATGTGCAAAAATCACTAGCATTCCTATACACCAATAACAGATAAGCAGAGAGCCAAATCACGAATGAACTCCCATTCACAACTGCTACAAAAAGATTGGTATACCTAGGAATACAGCTAACAAGAGAAGCAAAGGATCTCTTCAAGGGCAACTACAAACAACTGCTCAAAGAAATCAGAGAGGACGCAAATAAGTGAAAAAACATTCCATGCTCATGGATAGGAAGAATCAATATTGTGAAAATGGCCATACTGCCCAAACTAATTTATAAATTCAATGCTATTCCTATTAGACTGCCATTGACATTCTTCATAGAATTAGAAAAAAACACTTTAAAATTCATATGAAATGAAAAAAGAGCCTGAATAGCCAAGACAGTTCTAAGCAAAAAGAATAAAGCTGGCGGCATCACACTATCCAACTTCAAACTATGCTACAAGACTACAGTAACAAAAACAGCAGGGTACTGGTACAAAAACAGACACATAGACCAGTGGAACAGAATAAAGAATTCAAAAGTAAGACCACACATCTGCAATTATCTGACCTTTAACAACTCTGACAAAAACAGTGGGAAAAGGATTCCCTATTTAGTAAACTGTGCAGGGAGAACTGGCTAGCCATACACAGAAAATTTAAACTAGACCACTTCCTTACACCTTATACAAAATTTAATTCAAAGTGGATTAAAGACTTAAATGTGAAGCCCTAAACTATAAAACTCCTATAAGAAAATCTGGGCAATACCATTCAAGACATAGGCAAGGGCAAAGATTTCATGATGAAAATGTCAAAAGCAATTGCAACAAAAGCAACAGTTGACAAATGGGATCTGGCTAAAGAGCTTCTGCACAGCAAAAGAAACTATCATCAGAGTGAACAGACAACCTACAGAATGGGAGAAAATGTTTGCAATCTATCAATCTGACAATGGTCTAATATCTAGAGTACACAAGGAACTTAAATAAATATTTAAGGAAAAAACAAAGAAAAAAGCAAACAGCCCCATTAAAAAGTGGCCAAAAACATGAACAGACACTTCTCAAAAGAAGACATTCATGCAGCCAACAAGCAAGTGAAAAGAAGCTCAACATCACTGATGATTAGAGGAATGTAAATCAAAACCACTATGAGATACTACCTCGGGCCAGTTAGAATGGCAATTATTAATAAAGTCAAGAAATAACTGATGCTGGCAAGGTTGCAGAGGAAAAGAAATGCTTTTACAGTGTTGGTGGGAGCGTAAATTAGTTCAATCATTACGGAAGACAGTGTGGTCATTCCTTAGAAACCTAGAGGCAGAAATACCATTTGTTACAGCAAACCCATTATTGGATATATACTCAAAAGAATATAAATCATTGTATTATAAAGATACATGCACATATATGTTGACTGCAGCACTATTCACAATAGCTAAGACATGGAATCAACCCAAATGCCCATCAATGATAGACTGGGTAAAGAAAATGTGGTATATGTACACCACGGAATACTATTCAGCCATAAAAAGCGACAAGATCATGTCCTTTTCAGGGACATGGATGGAGCTGGAAGCCATCACCCTCAGCAAACTAATGCAGGAACAGAAAACCAAATACCGCATGTTCTCATTTATAAGTGGGAGGTGAATGATGAAAACACATGGACACATGGAGGGGCACAACACACACTGGGGCCTGTTGTAGAGGGGGCTGGGGGAGAGAGAGGATCAGGAAGGTTAGCTAATGGATGTTGGTCTTAATACCTAGGTGATGGGATGATCCGTGCAGCAAACCACCATGGCACATGTTTACCAATGTAACAAACCTTCACATCCTGCACATGTATCCCTGAACTTAAAGTAAAAATTAAAGAAAAAAAAGAAAACAACTGAGATATTTTATATTCTTTTTTGGGTGCTAAGATTTCAAGATCTGGTATGAATTTTACACCTACAGCACATCACAATTTGGACTCATCACATTTCAGATGCTCAAGAGCTGCATGTGGCTAGAGGCTACCATACTGAACAGGATATCTCTACATCTGTGCTTCTCAAACTTTGGCACAGATGGGAATAATCCAGAAAGAATACTAAACACAGATTCCTGGACTTCATTCATTCACAAAGGTCAGGGGCAGGACCTGAACATCTGCATTTCCAAAAAGCTCCCAATTGATGCTGATGCTACCAGTCCACAGACCACACTTGGGATAGCTTGCACAACAAAGCACACATATCTCCCAGTGAACCGTGGCAATTATAGCGATGATAACAAATAGTTCTCATGTTTTACCTTTCAAAAGCACTTTGCATAGCTACTAGAGAAATTCAAATTAAAACTAAACTGAGTTACCACTGCACACCCATCAGAATGGCCAAAATGAAAAGTAGTAACACCAAATGCTGGTGTGGATGTAAAGAAACTGGATCACTCATACATTCCTGGGAGAATGGCAAATTGAAAATAGTTTGCCCATTTCTTTTAAAACTATAAATGGATTTATCATACAATTATATTCTTGAGCATTTATCCCAGAGAAATAAAAACTTATTTCATGCAGAAATGTGTACACATATATTCACAGCATTTTTATTTGTAAAAGCCCCAAACTGGAAATGTTCCTCACGAGGTGAATGGTTAAACAAACTAGTGCATCCATACCATGGAATACTATGTCACAATAAAAAGGTATAAACTATTAATACACACAAGAGTTTGGATGAATCTCAGTGACATTACGCTAAATGAAAAATACCCAACCTCAAAAAGGTAAATCCTCATTCCATCTACATAACATTTGTGAAATAACATAGTTGTAGACATGAACAAAGTAGTGTTTTTCAGGGGTTGAGGAGGGGAACAATGGACGTATGGCTATAAAGGGAGAGCATGAGGGAATCTTGTGATGGTTAATCTTGGTTATGGTAGTAGTTACACAAAACTGCCCATGTGATTAAATCATACAGAGCTACACACATGCTCACACATAAATGAATGCATGCATAAGTGGTGAAAGCAAAATAGCTCTATAGATTGTGCTAATGTCAATTTCCTGTTTTTGATATTGTGCTATAGTTATGCAAGGTGTTAACACAGGGTGAAGGGTACACAGAACCTCCCTGTATATTTATTTGTACCTTCTTTGCATCTATCATTATCTCAAAATAAAAAGTTTTTTTTAAAGCACTTTGCATATGCTATCTCACTTGATCCTCATGATAACTCTGGGAAGTGAGTAGTATGATCACTAACATTATGCAAAAAAGAAAATCAAGGCCCAGGGGACCAACTGCTGATGGAAGACTACATAGCTAAAAACTGACAAAGCCAGGACTGAAGTAAGACTACATCCTTTCATAAGTATTGATATATTAATGTATAAGTATTAATAGATGTAAAAAAATTTAGGAGACCCAATTATCAGAAATGTAGATGTGCTTCAGATAGTAAATTTGCAAAGTATAAATAAAACACAAGCCCTCCATCTTCCCATGACTTACGATAGACTTGCAGGTTGTAGTGCTTGGTGATGGTGTAGGGAGCAGTCTCTGTATTTATATCTGCTTTGTAGTTTCCTGCATCTTCCATCCTCAGATTGCTAATGATCAGGTTGCAGCTTGGATCTAAGACATGTATCCGATCATAATAATTTCTGTGGGTCACAGTAACTGTGGGTGCTGTTTCTGAGTCTCCTGGTTTTACAAAAGCAACAGATGTTTCAGAAGTCCAAGCAATGATTTTAACTTGCTGTGGTTCTTGGATATTTACAGGGAAAGTGACTGATTCTCCCAGAATCCCAAACACCGTGAAGATTTCTGAGTCTTCTCCAGCTGCTTCTGGCCCTGAGAACGCAAGAAGTAAACTGTAGTCATCTGACTGTTGCCCCTTTCACGGTTCCTAATATTTCTAGCCTCAGAGCTTCCTGAGGAGTTGCCACAAATGCAGTTCACCCAGTTTCTTGAGGATGCATTCTACTCTAGGTGTATTTAGTATGTTATGACAACTAAATTTTCTAAAGCATTCTCATTCAAAAACTAAGTTTCTCATTAGAGATCCATGTTATTAAAAATATTTTTACCGAGACTTATAGACTGAAAACTGGAAGGCATTTAAGAGGTGAAGGCCATAAGCCTCCATGAAGTCTAAGATATTAGGTGCATTTCTTTCCCAAAATCATATTGCCAAGTGCTGGAAGAGCTGGAACAAGAACCTGCAATATCATGTCTGACGGACTCTTGGGTCATTGCTTTTCATTTTCCTGTGATCTCTGCAAAAAGCAAGTAACAGTTGTGTCTCTTTTGCTGGAAGATATAGGCAGAGTGCTTTGGAGGCTCTGGAGAAACTATTCCCCAAGTTGGTAATTTTTGGGGATCTTTTTCTGTTTACTTCTATATTCCTAGTCTCTAGAAGAGTGCCTGACACATAGAAGGTGCTTAATAAATATTTGTGGAATTAATTGATAGAATTTACTTGTGTTTTCTAGACTCTCTTGGAACAACTTCTGAAGTAAGCAAAGTTCGTTTATTCATTCATACATTTGTGAATGAATGCATGTATTTACTCAGGATCGGTTTTGTTCCAGATACTATGGTGGGTATTTATTAATTTAATTTATAATAAGTGTTTGTTGGACATCTACTCTTAAACAAGATACAAGGGGCTGGGGATACAACGGTGAGAAGAAACAGATGCAATTCTTGCTCTTTGGAACTTACAGTCAGAGGAGGATACCAATGTTGATCAGATAATCATACAAACAAATGGATAGATAAAAAATATCTAAGTATTATGGTGATTTCAGAAAGACCAGCAAGAGGACTTGATCTGTTCTGGGAATCCAGGGAACATTTCCTAGGGAAAGCTGAAGGATCAATACTTTTGAAACATAACATGGGAAGATGAGAAGCTTATTTTCTCTTCCCTTTTTTCTCCTCTATCAGTTTTGAAAATAAACTCATTTAATACGTAGTTTGTAAAATGAGAGACAATATAATTACCAGACATTATTTTTTCTGCTCTTCCTCATCCTCTTCTTCATTATCATGTAATTCCCAATGAGTGCTCTTCAGTGAGAAACAGTGTTTGGGGCAAGCATGGATGATATTCAATATATTTAATAACCAGTATGACATGGACCCTGACCAATCGGAAATGGCGTTAGCCATAAACAAATTAGTTGGGCGGTTCTGGTGTGTACTGGCTACATGTAGGCTCTGATGACCATGACATCAGTTTTCCACAGTTTTCCATCAGTTTAGGTTGACCCTAAAGTTTATCCAAGTCTAGATATATGGAAGAATAAAGATAATAAAGTATACAAGTCCCTTTGAATTGGCACAAAAATAAAGGGATTTCTTAAGCTGATGGGGCTGTCTCACTAAGGTCACCTCTGCTCTTCAGCTCAGCAACCACTGAAAGAGCCCCAGAGACAGCTGATGTAAACCTCTTTGCTTTCTGACCAACAGAGATTTTTTTCCTTAGGAGTAATATCCAGGACAAGGCCTTAGGACTTAGCTGGGGCTGGTTAAGTACAGAAGATGTAACAGGGAAGGGCAGAGAGTATGTGGGGTGGGAGTAGTTAGGGGGTAATTGGGAACCCTTATCTGCAAACATTTGTTAAGCGCTAATTGTGTGTCAGATACGTTAGGGACACATGGATAAACAGGACATCCTTGCAGCCATGAGGAGCTCACAGGCCAGAAAATAAGACAGATGTGGACACAAATGAAAGATAATACAACACTATGAGTGCGAAATGGTAAGAGCACTAGAAATAAACCATTGCGTGGGGCGGTGGGTCAGAAAGAGGCTAATGCTGCCTTTGGTGGTAGGAGTCACAGTTTGCCAAAATTCAAGAACATTAATTCTCCCCAGACAAACTGTTTTACTGGGCTGATGAGCTCTGGGAGAGAGGTGTTTGGAGTGTCCCAGCCTGAATCCCTGGATGTTCCAGGCAGGGGCATGTGATCTATTCAGTTGCACAGAACCCTGAGCTCAAAAGGACGCTGAACTGGACTTAATGCTGCATTGCCACCTTGAAATTCTACATGCTATTTAAACAAGGGGCCGTCCATTTTCATTTTGCACTGGGCCTGGCAAATTATCTAGCCAGCCCTGGTCCCAGATCTCCTATGTCTCTATTCTTTTTTGAAGTCAGGCCCTAGTGCTTAATTGCTTGCCACTTCACTCTGTGGATTGAGATTAGGTGTGAGGAGATAGACAGAACATAGATTCCGCAGACTTGTAATTTTGGTGGGTTCTCTCACCAAACCCCAGGAAGTATGTAGGTAGATTGTTTAGGCTGAGACATTAGGGCAGTTGAGCAGCCACAGTGGTTGGTATGTGGTGCAGTTTTAAAAGTATGTCTCATCTCCTGTAGCAAGTCATTCAGGAAGTGATGCCAGAGCATTTAAGGGCAATCAGGCGGTGGAAGTGGTGGGCAGGCAAAGCTGGGGGAAGCTGTTATATGTGCTGCTGGTATAATCGGCAAGAAAACTTTGCTTGCTGGAAAAGGCAAAGGGGTTGCACATGTTTAATATGAAGATTCTGCCACCTTCAAACACTTCAACTGTGCTCTGAGAGAAGCAGCTGCAAAACCATTGCCTGCTGTGGAAAGATAGGGAGGCAGAAGACGTAGGTGCAAGTACTTCTACTTATGAGCTGGAAAATCTTAACATGGTCACAAAACCTTTCTTTTTTCTTTCTTTTTTTTTTTTTTAAGACGAAGTCTCGCTCTCTCACTGTTGTCCAGGCTGGAGTGCAGTGGAGTGATCTCAGCTCACCGCAACCTCCACCTCCCGGGTTCAGGCGATTCTCCTGCCTCAGCCTCCTGAGTATCTGGGATTACAGGTACATGCCATCACGCCCAGCTAATTTTTGTATTTTTAGTAGAGACGGAGCTTCACCATGTTGGCCAGGCTTGTCTCAAACTCCTGACCTCGAATGATCTGCCCGCCTCAGCCTCCCAAAATGCTGGGATTACAGGCATGAGCCACCTCACCTGGCCTGGTCACAAAATCTTTCTGATTACCCAGGAAATGACATAATATGAGCCTCAGTTTCTTCATCCATAGAATGAAAACAGTAACTAAGGTATTTGCCTTATTTGGTGAGCAGCAAATGATGTAATGTGAGTAGAAGTACTTTGTTGATCATCAAGGCAAAATAAAAATTATTTCTGGAGTTTATAATGATAACATTCATAATACCTTCATCATCACCTTAACAGTTGGTACAAGCCCTTTGGGACTACCCTAGGCCATCCTTATGATGGCCTTGGCGATGCCAGGGCCATATTGGAGCATGTATCAAGAGCCATTTTTTAGGGCTAATTCAAGTAAAGCCTGGAGGGATAGTTTTAGGTACCCTGGATAGACTTTATTCTGCTCTCAAAAGACTTTAAGATTTAAAAGAAAGAATCTCCATATCAATCAAATCCAATATTTATGTTTCTAGATGCCAAAGGGACTCTAATTTTATATTACCACTGGAAGTGACCTTAGTAAAATCTAATTTCAGAGATAACTTGTGGCACAAAAACATCTTGAGGACTTAACATGAAATGCACTGTGTTAGTCTATGACAAAGACATATTCTCTGCCTTTTTGGGGGAATTTGATATCCGGTTAGGGAAATAAGACAGACAGACAGACACACACATACACACACACACACACACACACATGAAATTGTCCTTTGCAATATGAGGTAGTGAATAATAAATTCAAATGAATGGTAGAAACAGTGATTACAGTAGAAATTCTAAGAAGGGAAGGATCACTGAGCTGCAGTGGTTAGGAAAACTGTCTCAAAGAAAGTAGAATTTGTGGAGGATTTTGAAAGGTGAATAGAATTCTACTGGATGGAAAGGGAAAGGAAGGGTGTCTCAGGTCCTCGGATCCTGAATAAAAGTTTGGAAGTAGAACCTATGATGTTAGTTGGATGAATATAGATTTCTATAACAGAGTGGAGAGAGGTTTAGATTTGTGACAGCCTTGAGTTTGAGGTCTCCATCATAGGCAGAGGGGAACCATTAAGGTTTTTGATGGTGAAAACTTCAATAACGTTTTAGTCATTGTAATGTGGTAACAATGTGTGGGGAGAAAAACCGGAAATAGAGGCTGGATCAGAGAGGCTATTTAGGGGCTACCATGGTCTTCTGGACATGAACCAGGAAACAATGATGGGAATGGAAAGGAAGGGCTGGATTTGACAGATAGCACAAAGAAAGGCAATAAATAAAGAGGCATCTACTAGAACTCAATTGTTCAACAATATATTTTGAGTTTCTACTTTATGTCATTGGACAACTCATAAAGTTTATGATGGAAAGAAGTCAAAGGGAGAAGACAAGTTTAGTCTTAAAAATATTAAGTTTGAGGTGATGGTGGGCCACATAAGTAAGTTGTTGAAAAGATGGAAGATAAGGAGAGAGAATGGACTTGAAGTATTATTTGGGGCACTGTGACAGAATCTGCTAGCTGTTTTCCAACATTTGTTCCCACCTTCGTTCTTTGTAATAGAATTGCTAATTTTTACCAGGGCATATAGCCACCCAAAATAGACTGTATTGTCCTGCTTTCTTCTAGCTAACGTTAGTCATATGACTAAGTTCAGCCCAACAGAATGAAAGTGGAAGTGCTGTATATGACTTCTCTGACTTTAAGAAGAGTGAGGAGCCTGGTGCAGTGGCTCATGCCTGTAATCCCAACACTTTGGGAGGCCGAGGTGGGTGGATTGCTTGAGCCTAGGAGTATGAGACTAGCCTGGGTTGGTACGAGACCAAAAGGGCAAAACCCTGTATCTACAAAAAAATACAAAAATTACCCGGGCAATGATGGTG